AGATCAGGCAGTAAACCTTAAAAAAGCCGGAGCTTGAAACAACGACACTTCTTCCACTAATCAGAGAAGGCTTCCTCTATTTTGTCTTCTTGGCCAGTGTTCTGTAGTAAATGCTTTCCACAGTGTTACCCGTGTTTGCCTTCCCTCTGCTCATAGCTATCACACAGTCCATTCTCTTCTCTGTGCAGAACATAACTGTCTTCCACATCTCACCTTCCTCCTTCTAAAATGCACATATCCACCCCTCACAGCACCGGAGCTGTTAGAGCTCTTACAGTTTCTAAGTACAAAGGAGCAATGGGTGGGTCAATCCCCAGCCTATCCAGGTCTGCAATGCTGTGAGTACAGTGTCTCTCAATCCAATCAATATTGAGAGCTGGGCACTGTCTTGAGATGACTTGCTGAAACACCTAAATTAGATGGTGCACCTTCATCTCTTGATTATTACTCTKAAAAATGATAATAATAGCCTTGGGGCAAGGCTTTAATCCACAATCCCCACACATCCCATTATAGTCAAAAGCATGTTATGCATACTCCTCCAGGTTCAGTAGAAAGAGTAACTATTCTTTTCTAATGCAGTAAAGGCAGATGAACAATGAAAGCCCTGTCTCAAAGATCTAGTCTCCATTTCCTTCACAAAGTCAAGGCCTTCCCTGCTTGCCCAGATATGGTCATGGTTGATGTGCATTTGTTGGTTTCACACAGGAGAGAGAAAAGGAAGAGGTTCCCAGAGGGGAACCCATTTGAGGTCAGACCTTGTCAGGACCAGCAGACTTGGAAATTTAAGTCCAGAAATTACTTGTTTGTGTTTGTTTCTCTTGTATTCAAGGAAAGGGGAAAAGACTGTTTATCCTTCTGTAAATAAACAAGATCACAGGGAGAAATACACTACATTTATATGAGCAGTGTCTTTTCCAAATAGAAAGGCTGACAGGTGCCAGCATACTTACAGCCCATTTTTTGAGCCTTAGTATGATCTCTTTCACATGGAAGAAGAATTAGAGTAAGAACATCTTGAAATTCTTCAAATTGCAGTTGTTTCTTTGCTTCAAGYTGTAAAAATCTCACTGCAGATATTTATAATTCAGTTTCAGCCACAGGAGCCGTAGCTGGTTTGTGATGCTTCCACTGCAGTTTCTTAACAAGATGAAGGTCTCAGTCCCAGCCAGTGCAGGAGCACATATCGCCAGCACTTGGAATCAGGAAAATCCAGAAAGGAAATCCAGGTTTTAARGAAATCCAGACTGACAACCTCTCTTCCTGCTGTAAATCACTGCCTGATCCAGTTTCCAGTTTGACTGCTGCTCTTTCCCGCAGTACACCTGCAGGTAAAAAGGGAACACAGGCAGCACACCCATTGCCAGGTGAGSAGCRAGTGAGGTGATGCTGCAGCAGTGCCTGTTCCAAGGAGCTGCTACTGGTCCTTCTTGAGTGGAGGTTGGTTGCTTGGTTGCTTGGTTRGTGCAGCTTTGSCTTTGAGAGGGTRAGGGAGACAAACCACAGAATGAAAAGGAGCAGTAAGAAACATCTTCAGAGCTCTGACAAAGATTCACAGAGTGCTTTTGTCTATCTGAGAGAGAAGTTAACTGAATGGGCTAAAGAAYATTTTTCCCCCAGGCAGAGAGGAAACACTGGTGGGATCAGGAAACACGATGGCATCTTTAACTGCTGCAGCACCCCAGTGAGTCCCTGCTTGTCCAGCAGTGACAAACAGACACATTCCTCAACACACAGAGAAGGGTTAGCTCACTGGTGTCACTACTAAAATGTGTGTATGATCCCAAACAAAAATGGACAAATCCTGTTATTTTGKTGATGAAATGCTGGTTTTGGCCTGCACAGAAAAATGTTCAGGCCCAGTCTGCTTCAGKATTTCATGTATATCAGGCACTGGCCCTTAATGGGACAAGAAGAACAATCTGAACTGGAGAGGCAGCTACCACTACACATCATGGTCACCCCAAATCCAGCTGGCTCCCCTTGSTACACTGCCACATTTCTCACAGCTGCAAAGTCTGAAACTCCCAAGGGCAAACTTTCCTTAATTAATCATCAGGCAGACTTTTTTTTTCTTCTCTGTCTCTTTTTATGTTTCTGAGTTRCGACATTTCCTGCCAATGTTCTGCTTGGAATGAATTTCTACAACAGAGCCATCTAACTTCTGAAAATAGATACTTACACTGGAAAGCCTGACACACCCTATATGGAGCCTGAGTGGCAGCACCATAATCAAAAGAGAGTCAAGACACTAGGCCGTGCTAGCAGCATTCAATTAGGCTATGAGCAAAGCAGCCCTAAGAGAAGAAAGTAAATGGGAACTCTGTAAACGCCCCCAGGCTCTTTTCATTACTCAGAGGCATTTCAGTTTGTCCTCTTTAGAGTAACCCTCGCTGAGGTGAGTTATTCCAATATAGCTGGTGTGTTCAGAACCCCTTTAAATATAAAAATTTGCAGAAATTGCCAACTGTCATGATTTCCTGATATGAAACTGAGTGCAAAACCTGTGGGGGAAAAAAAAAGCCAGTAGTCATATGATATAGGTCTGAGCTCTGCCTATTATTAACGAGGGTGGATTTTTCAGGATAAAATTCTCCTGGGCCAAATAACAGGAGAGTGATAAATAAAGCTTGTCAACTGCCCTTTCTGACTCACTCTCTCCTGTTCAAGGGTGACTCACTGTCATGTGTGAAAGGCTGCCAGGTCTTGCTTACATGCTAAAACAAGCATGGGTCCTCTGTGTTAGACACACATAACCTCAGARAAAGCAGACACTTGCTGCTGAGAAGGCAGCCCTGGAAAGGACTCTGCTGACTAAAGGACCTGAACTTCAAGGTATTTCTCAACCCTTTCTGAAAAGTTCAAGGTTGTTGTTAGATTACCACAAAAAAACTTAGACCCAAAGCCGTGACTGAGACTTGGCTGGTGAGTGCAGTGTTTTTAAACCATGGCTCAMTAGGACCATGAGGTTTTACCCAGGTAAATCCTGTGGAATAAGCCAGACAGCACATTCTAGGTGCAGACAGAAGTAACTTAGACCATTTCTGGTCCAGAGGTGCTTTTTGTCCGAGGAAAACAGCGTGAAAAAAAGTCCCTTGTTGCTCACTATTTCATGGTGCTGCTTCCTCAAGGAGCCTGTGAGGAACCTGTCTTGGATCTGTAGAGGGGCAAACATCACATTGAACACCATCTCAGAGTGTGAATAGCTGAACTGACTGTTCCTGAGCGGCACCAGTAGCTGCTCAGCGCTCCCCTCTCTGCAGTGACAAGGACTTTGCAGGAAAGTGGCCACTCACAAAAAGCATATTTGCATCCAGGAGCTTTGCTGCCTACGTGAGCGTGTGCTCCACCCTTTGGTCTTCTCCTGTCCCCCCGGGCCCACCACCGGCCGAGTGCGCAACTCTGTGAAATCTCTGCCCCGGGCCCTAATAACAAACACCAGTTATTAGCACATAGCACAGTGWGCACTGCCCTGCAGACAGGTGCCAAAGGACACCTTGCCCTTGTGCTCTTTCCAAGGCTCCATGCGTTGTTGCCATGCCGTGACAAAGCAAGGTGCTTTTGCAAGGATGAGCGTGCCGAGGTGTCAATCCACAGATCCCACAGGGCCCTGTGATGGAGCTAGAGGGACACAGCTGCACCTGYCCTTTAGCACTCAGAGGATCCCAGTGCAGGAATGGACAGGTTTCTCCCAAGACTAAGCCTCCCTCGGCTCTGGGTATTGGCCAACATCTTGCTACATCCCACAGGGAAACTGCAGTGATACCACGGCTGCCTCTCGCGTGTTCCACCATCCAGGAGTCACCCATGCAGCTGGGAAAGCCACTCACATGTGCTTTGACCCAGAAAGGGTCTCAAAAAAACTGCAGCTAAAGGACCATCTCAAGGTCTCATCACTGTTTTCCAGACCATATGATCACAAACCTGTCTGTGCAGGGCCATCCCACAGAAGTGATACCGTCCCTGGACTGCTGGTTACTCCAGAAGAAGTACATTTCCCATCATAATTGTGCTGCAAATTTTTATCCTTTTAAAAACTGAACCGGATATTGTAAGGGTAAAAAAAATAAATTGTATCATTCTTATCCAGCACTGATATATTTTGATGAAAAACTTCCAAAATGAAGATATAACCTAGAAATGTTAATTTTTAATAGAATCACAGAACAGTCTGAGTTGCAAGAGACCTAAAGATCATCTATTTCCAGCTCCCCTGCCAAGGACAAGGATACTTTGCACTAGACCAGGTTGTTCAAAGAATAAAGAGTATACCATCATGTGTATGAGGAAGATGCAGAAGYCAAACACAGTTCTAAATATCTTTTATATTTATTCTTCTCTGGGAGAAGGTTTCCATCCCCTGAAATTTCTGAGAGGTTATATTTAAATATTTGTGCTGTGTACCAGAACGGATGTCTAATGAAAAGCTTAGAGAGAAGCTGCAGGCCACAACAGCCTCATCCAATGGCAAAAGGGCTCACCTGACACATGGAAAACAAGCCTAGGCCACAATGCTATTTAGGCATTAATATCACATGTGCCAGTCTAAGTGAGGAGACTAAATATTAGCTGTGAACCTGCACTGCAAGTGTCTGTCYCAGTAAGGCAGTGCAGGGCCAGCCCACAGAAGTGATCTGGTCCCTGGRCTGTTGGTTACTCCATAAGAAGTACATTTTTCATCTTTCATCCTTTTAAAAACTGAACCAGATAGTGCAAGGGTAACATACTTATCCAGCATCATTATATTTTTATTAAAAACTTCCAAATTGGCACTAGCATGTCATATTTCTCTTCTTAGCAATGGTGAAATATTACACTTCTGATTTTCTTCCACCCTGTAATCATCCATTATTTCCATCCATTTTATTCTTAATGGCTATGGCCAAGTCAGGATTTCATCCTAAATTTCCACACTAACATTAGCTGGTACAAATAGTTTTATACGTAAAATAGTCATAAATAAGGTTAATTCAGCTAATTCTATCCAAGAAAAAAAAAAAAGGAGATTATGGAAATAAAAATAAAAAAAAAAAAAGCACACACAATTTATTAGAAAATCCAGAGTAGCTTCCTTCAAAAGGAAAATGTCACCAATTTTTTGGCTGTAGAAAATCATGTCTTCTGGTTGTTTTGCTCTTTACAAAAACARGATTGACATTGAAATCATTAATCACATTCATCTGCAGGCGTCCAAGCACTTCTCAAAATCAGCCAGGAAAATAATCTTCTCAGAAACGGCCCAGCAAAGGCATTAAGATGAAGGACCATGAATTACAGCCCAGGTCTCCGGTCACCCAGCCCAGTCCCTTGTGTGTCAAACTCCCCCAGCTCTGACAAAGCAGTTGGGCATCCTAAGCTGCAAYTTCAAAGTGATTTACTGAGCAAAGTGAAACCACTCAACACGGACTCTGCTGCTGTGAGTTGCTCTGACTGCAGTCACCTTCTGCCATTGCTCTTCAGAGCACAGAGCTCCAACTGCTCAGCCTTCCTTTGGGTGGAAAACTGAGGTCATGATAGAGAAACCACTCCTTATTCATTCTTGTTCTTCTTCTTCCTTCTCTCCTCCGTTGTCYCTTCGGGTGTGCTCATCCAGGATTTTAACTCACTAAAATGAGCTCCAGTGAAGCCCGCCCTGTTTGACACAATGAAGCAAAGAAAAACAGCAGAAAGGGGTACAGGTTGGTAATGTTTCCCAGGTAAAGCAGCAAACAACCTTGTCTCCTTTAGCAGAGAATGTCTGCTCTGCCCCAGGGGAAAACAAATAGCTGTGCTTGTACCCTCAGCACCATGAAAACCCATCATGTTCCTGTCTGGAGTGAGCATGCACACAGCATGGATTGCAGGCATCCCAGTGAAKCTCCCTGAGAGTTTGGTTCTTTTACATACCAATTACATGACTCTGTGCATAATGCATAAAGCCAAGATGCTCGGGATGCACCCRGAGCATGCACAAAACAATTATGTGTGCGTTTGCAGCAAATTTCACACTCTCAAGAAATACCAGACTCGCTGGTCATGTGCTGTAGGCATGTCCGAGGATTTTGCATGTGCAATGCTGTAGCATTCATGGAGGCAATTCTGAAATTCTCATTTACAGGCAAAAGAAGATTTAAGTCTTAAAWGGAGCTTTCCATACACTTCAACAGAGCAAAGCTGATTTGCAGTGATCCTGTTTGCATGAGTTATTACATTTAAAAATACTGCAGTGATACTGCTGTTAACCACGGCTGGATGGGAAATGGAAYTCCTCTCCTATGGCATATCCAGGTTTGAAAKATTTTGTRTTTATCMTGAATCRGGAGAAGAGGTTCTATTTCTATTAYCATCAAAAWTTCATATTTYAAGTACAATGCAGTAACAAAATTACTTTTTTGGAATAAAGTATATCAGTAATGTCTGATCAGAACAGTATTAAAAAGTAGAAGTCAAGAAGACTGAAGAAGCTGGAATGAATCATGAGCAAGGAAKTAAATCCCATTTTGATTTTTCAGAAGTTTTGATTAATTTCTGCTCAAGTTTATGTTAATGCATATTTCCTTTCTTCAGAAACCTTACGATTTTTAACAAAGCACTACAATGGGAAGTAAATACTTTGCCATCAGATAACCATCTGCAAGCTTCAGGCTCTCTCAAGCCTCTCAGAACCCACACTCCTGWTCCTCCTGTGCAGACCAAATCCTTGGTCCAGTGGCCTCTCTCCCAGTGAGAAATATTTCGGTGTTTTTATTCCTCATAGTGCTACCAAATCCACGCATGGACCAGTGAAGATTTGAAAGCACTGTTTTTTTAAGGTATGCAGACAAGGCTAGAAACAGAGTGAGCTGAGATGGATTTCAACTTGCTCAACTCTGACCAGTTTGGCTTAGTCTTGGTTTGTCTCTAATCTGAGATCACCGCCCAGTTTCCCTCAATAATCAGTGGAAAGAGACTGATGGGATAAATCACTCAGTGTGGGTTCCTATCACACAGATCTATCTCAAGGGTAACAATTCACCCTTTGCCTGAGCTTTATTCCACAGCCATGGTCTGACTGGACAGACAGTGTTTGGGCAGCTGCAGGTGGGCGAGATGATCCCCACCCTGAATGACAGCATTATGATCACAGAAAATACCACTACCAAATACCAGCTCATTGCATCTCACCTCCACAYCTCTGCTTGCTGATTAAAAAAAACAAAATCTGGCTTTTCACTACTATCTAACATTTGTCATCCCTGGCAGAAGCTGAATCAACTCCCAATAAATCAGATCTCTGCCAAGTCTGTTCTTGAGAAGATGTCATCACTGGGGCTGCTGGGGATCCTTGGAACTGAATCCACAGTTCCCCTCTTTCAAGGAAAAGGCTCCCAGTTTATAAGTGCAAGGCATAATTTGGGCCCAGACGTTCTGTATTGATCTGCTGAAGTCCTGCTGTATGATGAGTCTTACAAATGGCTGATGAGCTGTTTGTGTCAGACCACGGGAGCTTACTGGCATCTACCAATGTCACCAAGGGCAGTAGAAATGAAAGACTGTAAAATTTCTTACCTACAGAGATGAAACTGTGAGGCCAATGATGAGAGCAAATCTACAGAGCAGAATTCCCAGAGGGATCTCGGGCTGTGGTGGGAACAGCCTGGAGTCCAAGAGGCACCAAGGGACTGAAACTCCCCAGGCTCAGGGTTCCRAGGGGAAAAGGTTTGGGCTGAAGAGCAAAGAACAAAGAGGTGATATTTTACAGGGAYAATGAGGCCCCACAGGTAAAATTTCATTCTATGCACTCTGCCCTACAAATAAGCTACTGGGTGAACYGATAAAGGAAAGGAGAATTTGGGTGTATGGGCAAGGGAGGGACACGCTCTGGGCTGGCACTCAGCCACACTCTCCGTTTATCTTTGTGACTTTCTTCCCTCAAAGAAGCCCCGATCTTTGTGCAATGATGTTTTTCTCCTAAGGCAGCAAACAAGAGCACAAAATTAATAGCAGCAGTCGTCCTTTCAGTTCTCTGAACAGAGCATTGAATGTGACTCATGGGGCTATGCCAAGCTGGCWTTCCACCAGGGCAATAAAGTTGTTGCCGGTGGATCCTCATTAACAGCACGCGGAGACCCACTGTCCAAGAGAAAGAAGGGACTTCTGCATTGCCTCAGAAGAAGAAAATGCAAAATGTTGTATGGCTGAGTTAATTAAATCTGACAGAGAACAAAGCTGGTTGTGATGAGCAGGCGAGGCTCCCCTGCTGTGCTATCTAGACTGAGCTCTCTGCGTGGGCCCCTCAAAAGTGGTCAGTGCTGATCTAACCCAGTTCCCACTGAAGTCAGTAAAAAAACCCATCCTGACATCACTGGAAGAGCAACAAGCAGAGTTRCTGGGGGCACAAAGCCAGGACAGTGCTGAGACAATAAACTTGAAAACCAGGAAGGAGGTGCCTGATGCATCTCCCAGAAGAAATGTAAAACATGCCCAAGAACGAAAAAGAGCCTTTGTTGAAGCAGCAATTYGCCCAATGGAAGCCTGAGAGATGTTCCCACCACCCACTTGAGCCCAGGATGATCACACAAAGCCAAATGACGGTCCATCATGGACCTGGCCATTGAGCAAAGGGTGATGCACACATCCCAGCAGCCACTCAGCTCTCCTGGAGATGGCACAACTCACCCTCGTGGAAATGCAAGMACATTTTCCCTGCTGGCCTACAGATCCCTYGGATCTGGCTTGGTCCTGCCAGATRCCCAGGAAAGCCTGTCTGCACATCAACCCACCARCTCCTGATGTGTCCCTTATCTTCCTGAGAACATCAAGCGGTCCACACCTTSAGAGGATCCCCAGCTGCCATCAACCCAGAAATATCAATGCAGAGCAGTGCATGAGAATAATACTTTCCAGCCCTTGAGCTCTTTTTACCATCCTTGGACTTTGATTTACTGATTTTTTTGATCAAGAAGACCATGAATCTCCATGCCTGGCTCCCACCAGCCACAATCCTGCTGATATTTCACATAAGGGAAAAGAGGCCTGACTCTGCATGCACRGTATGGCCTTTTGCCAAAGAAAACTCCCAAAACAACTCCAATTATTTTGGTTCCTTATGGTAAAGCACAGCATTCTGTCTGCAGAGTACCAGAGAAGAGAAACCTAAAGTGACCCCAGGTTTTTAAATCTAAATAGGAAACCCAGATTCACCTTTKAACATTATTCAGCTCATGTGGTGTCTGGGAAATAAGTTCCTAGTTTAGCAGAGAAAATGATGTAAAAGCCAGGAACAGAAAATAGCACTAATAATTAGCAACAAAGAAGGCCAGGGGTCTTCACCCTTCTTTCTCCCAGTGCTTTCTTCCCTGAGGTGAAGTACTAAGCCAAAAGACTGGAGTGAAGCAAAGTTTCCTAAAATAAGTATTGAACTAGGAGGCACCTCCCATGTCTAGGGCACAGTTGCTAATTAGAAAAATACAGAAAAGGGTCAGGAAAACATCCTGGAGCAACAAGCGTCAGGACAGGACTTGTAAGAAATTCGAAAGAGTGAGCAAAAAGCATCATGGCTTCCAGTAACAGAGTAATATTTATTACAGAATTGGCGTAGCAATATTGATTTCTCAGAGCTGTGAAGGGGACAGGGTGAGTTCATGCATAAAGGAGGAGGATAGCACAGCCCTGTTTGCCCCACTGCTGCAGCTTCGGGAACACTCTGTATTTTTCCCATCGTGACAAATGCCCATAAGGAAACTGGCACTGCAGAAAGGTTGCACAATCCTTGTAACTTAAAAGGAGAAAGCCAGACACACCTATTCCTTCCTTAGCATTGGAGGCACAAAAGGACTAATGCTAACATATACAAATCACAGGTCTGGAGGAACTCTCAAATTCCAGTCTGGAATAGTGTCAAGACAGGATTTTAATGCTGCATTTTACAAACCATGTAAATGTTTAAGCTGAAGATGGTCTCCACCTAAGCATACCTTTTTACAATTTCAGAGAAAACACCTTCACGAAACATCATTTGTTTCATATGAGCACAWAGACATTTGGCAGATCTGGCAGAGAAAGCACTTTGCCAACATAGTATAAGATTTCATTAAAATGTTGCTATGGTGAATTGGAATGAAAAGCAACAGCTTCAACACCACCATGAACCCATCACTGGATTAGAAGTAAATACAGTAAAACTGGGGGTGATACACCACCAACAGTTTCTCAGCTTTTTAATATAAACATTTTTCATGCTAAAAAAAAATAACTCATAAAAAGTAACCTTCCCTACAGTTTCCATTTCAACCAAACCCTTGCATGCTCAAAAAATTCCTAACCATCTTATAATTAAGAGTGTTAACTAGTTCTGTCCTTTAGCTCTTGTATTTGGCTGTTCATATAATGGTCTGGGAGGATCCAGATAACATTTAAGGCTGGAATGAGTCAGCCTGGAAAAGATTATGTTTATGTAATTGCAGCATGGTATGGGAAGTGTCCTATATTATAACAGGCTCAGCATTAGCCCAGCTCTGAGGCAGCTGCAGTCAGCCACCCTGCCATGAGTAACTCAGCGAGCCCTCTCTTCCCCTGCCTTCCTTTGTGAAGGCTTCAGGACACGGCTCTTTTACAGCTTTGTGTTGGCACAGCCTGGACACCAACACCCCAGCCCAACCCAGCCTCCAACCCTCACTCAATGGAATATAAAGAACTCAGTCTCGCCCTCAYGCTGGTGGTGTTTCACCACCAAATCTCTCTCTTGTCTCAGTCATTCCCATTCAGCAGACAATCTGAGGGGCTGAGGAGGCAGCAGAGATAACTGACTGCTTTATCCARCTGCATCCATCCCTTGAATCCAAGTTACTGCAATGAGTTCCTCCAACTGACTCTCATAAGCACAGACATTAGAGCCAACCAACAAGCAATGAAATACTGTCATGACCCTCCCTGTCCAACCAAAGAGAAGGTTGGCTCTGCTCAGCAGGATTTGGGACCGAGAATTTGGCAGAGAAGGCTGTTCCCAGAGTGGCCTGGTGAAGAAATGATGTGTCACTATGGGACACAGTAAAATGGAAGCCCTTTTGGGACAGCAATTTCAGTTCCCCTTTGACTCCATCATTTCAGGGGTTATGTTTTCCTCCTGATTACAAGGAAACCCAGGTTCCCCCACCCCAGCCAGGAGCAAGGTTGCCTGGAGCTGTGTTGCAGAAAGGCAGGGGCATGTTTGTGACTCCTCTGGGGAGCAGGCAGCAGTGTCACACCAACTGACTGAAAGTTTTCATGAAACTGCTCCGAGAGGATCCCAAGGAACTGGAGTTCTGTGTGGGGACGGCTCCTTTGTATSGCCAGGGAAAAGAAACATTGTGTGAGGACATGCACACAAAGGAAAGAGGAGGAAAGAATGCCTAGCACCMGCACAGTGTACGAGCTCTCTGTCATTACTTTTTCCTTCCATTAACCTTTTTTTTTTTTTTTGTGTGGTGCTGAGTTGCTGGCCAGGGTTAAACCACACCATCCTCACCACCTGTTCAAAATCCCCTTTTTTTCCTGTCTTCATCATTCCCTAAGTTTCTCTCCCTTTTCAAGCACTCTCTCATCTTCTCCTACCTTCTTCAGGTTCTTTTTTAAATCTCACTACCAGATTGTCTCCCATGTCAGCCCACAGCTGACCGTCACTTCTGAAGAATGGTTGGTCACCACTCTGAAATAGCCAAGCACCACCTTCCCCGCTCAGAGGGGGATCCTACACTCCTGACACCCAAGCACAACCTCTTCTTACCTCAACTCYCTGCACTTGCTGCACTTCAGGTTCATAGTCTCCCTCCCTTGCTGGACTTGTCTTTACACTCTCTCAGACTTGGCATCAGAGAAGATTTATGCAAGCATAAATGGCAACCAGCAGGCACCCAGTGATTTGCTTTCAAGATTAAGTGGAAGTGGCAGGGGTAAGATTCAGGGCTGCACTGATTTTTGCCCTGCTGACCTTCATGTTGAGCCCATTAAAGTTTTCTGCTCCATGTATTCAGCAACGCTTCTGCATACCAGGGCAAGAGCTTTCCAGTCTGGTAGCCAGAGCTCTGCTACAATTCTTTGTGCCCAAATCAGTTGTCAGCAGGTCACCAGAAACACTTTGGGAGTTGATTATATGATAAAATAGAGCTGCAGAAAGATCAGGACACTTCTCTGTCTCATGGCCCCTTCTCTGTGACTCCTTGGCTCACAAGACRTTTATTATCCTGGGCATCCACTCGTGTCACACAACAGACACTTGACCCTGGGCTGCCTGACACAGCCAGAGTCCCCACAAGGGTTGGGCATGGGGTGCTGCTGTGCCATGCCTTGTCCAAGGATGAGGATAAAATCCATGTTGGCACCTGGACATCCCTAACTTCACCAGCACACCTTCCCTAAAAATACCATAGTCCTTTTTAAAGCAAAAAGGCAAAAATTATTTCAGGGAAGGGGCTCTGGACTGTAGGGATGCAAAAAGGGTGACTGCTTCTGAGAAGTCAGTGTGGATTTTAGGCACCCAAACCAACATTCTGCCTGACACCACCATGAAGGGATCCCTCTGCAGGGTTCAGATGCTTCCAGAGCAGCTGGGCAGTGCTGGTTTGGCCACAGGGGCTGGGGCTTGAGCCCAGAACATCTTTCTTACCCCACACAATGTGTAAGCTGCATGCCCACAGCCCATCAGGCTGCTGTCTTTGATCCTGCAGAGCTTACAAGCCCTTCCTGAAGGCAGCAGAAAGCCCTGGGGGCAGGGATCCCCAAGGGTGGCTTTGTCACCRGCAGCCTGGAGCTGTGGGTCTGGCTCTCCCAGAGTCACCACTTACTGCTCTTCAAAAAGGCCCACAAAGCGCTTTTGGGACCGCCTCGAAACAGGGACRGCTGACACCGCCAGCCTGTATTTTAAACCAATTCAGATCAAACACTAAGGAAATTCCAAACCAAAGGGTTTTCTATTTCCTCTGCTTCCCCTGTAATCCACACGACTGTCTGCCGTTTCCTGGGAACGTTTAGCTGCTGGCCTAAAAGCTGCCAGCCTCTTCTCACACGCAGGAGAGYTGGTTTTATCTGCCCTTCCTTGATGGGCTCCAGCTCTCAGGCTTCCTACCCAACCCTTCCTTAATAAATTAGAACAATTACTCCAGGCTTCTCAAGGATAATTGCTAATAAAATTCAGCAGATTTCCCCCAAAAGACATGAAAGGGTTGGAAGCAGAACCAGAAACTAAAGGAGAAATAAAATGCAGGACAGAAATAATAGSCCTTGTTCCATTCATGTCTCATCCACCGCTGGTGAGTTTTTGTTCTGAGAGTCACATATTTCACAGATGAATCCTCCCAAGCTGTCTCCAGTGGGGAAGTGCCTCATGCTCACTGCTTTGGAAARATGGTTGGTTGTTATTGAAGTTAGTTTACAAGATCTTCCTGAATCTAGGAAAAAAAAAAAACATCAAAGCCTCAGGCTGGATTTAAAAAGAATCAGCAGGGCATCAACAAAAGGCAAAGTCACAAGAAAAGAAAGGTGTCCAGATCTATCCTTTCTCTGATAGCAACCCCTTCCAATACTTTAATTTCAAAAGACAGTTTAATGCACAGAAACAATGAATTCTGAAGCCTTGGTGGTCTTAGGTGCTCCCCTGAGGAGCTGTGGACACTGATGCTTCTACAGGTATCAGTGGTTTAGGTTCAGGGCAGCTAAGGAGCTCTTCAGACCATCAGGTCTGGCTCATTATGGACAAAATTAGACCCAACAGATGAGCTAAGTCTCTCAAACAGGCAGCCCAAATGGCAGGAACCCCCAAACACACCAGCAAGGAGCAGGAATTACCAGCTTTGTTTTTGGTGTGGTTAAGTTATCACACCGGGTCTGCAAGGAGAGCTGCTGGAGGACTGCACAGCGTTGGATATGCCTGTCTTATGGCACATGAGGCTGACAAAGGGCTAGGTGGGTCCCCAAGCCCTGTCTCCCAGTAATCTGTCTGTGGGTTTAACTGGGAGCAAATTACAGGCATCGCTAACGAGAAACTCGAAATGGCACTGGCATGTCTTGCCTCGGGTCTGTCTCTCCTTGTGGCACGTTGCCAGCACTACACAGGAAAGCAAAAGAGCCTCTGAAACTAAATTATATCTTGGGAGGGAGAAGGTGGAGTTTTCTTCCTGAGCAGGTCACTAGCAGCAGCCCTGAGCATGGGATTTATGTGGGATAGATGCAGGAAAACAAATGGCTACGCAATCGTTGTTCACATTTGCCCAAATACATCAGCATATCACAAACCCAAGGATTCTTATCACAAGTGTAATTTTCTGATTCTGTTCTGTCGTTACGAAATCCCTTTCACAAGCCCTCACAACTCCATCTTCAGAAGCACAGCAGTTTTCTTGCCTGTCCCCACTACTTCCCAGTGGAAGACCATTCCAGAATTTTACACCACAGGAGGGGAAAGACAGTCCTTGATACAATTGATTTGAAATAATTATACCATGTGGATAACAAGAAATGGGAGGTCTTGAACAAGGAAAGAAGATGCAATACCAGAGAACTCTTCACATTATAACTAACATCTCTCTGCTTCTCCAATTCAGCTAAAGCACTACAACAATTAAGGTTGAACTTCAACATTAAATAGGACTTAAAATGACCTTTTGTAATTTCATTTTCCTGACATCTATTTATACTTCAGTAGATCAATATCCTGAATTCCTGCTTCTGCATGGTAAGTGCCTCTTCTTTAATCTTCTCCTAACACTCCATTCAGATRATCCTGACAAGCCAGCACTTCCCTTCAGGGATGGTAATGAATCTAAATAAAGCCCTATTGTRGAAAAGGACAGTCAGTGTATGTTTCCCACCAATAAGCAGGGATCACTTTGGGAGCACTGCATGGCACAATGCACTGAAAAGTCTCATCTGGCAGGGTTTATCCACTAGCTTAAAGCTGATCCCTACTAACCAGAGGTCCCTTGATCCAGGAAATACAACCCTACATTGCAAAAAGTTCGAACTCCCCTGTGTTTCAGTCTGCTGTTGCATTTACCACATCACCCAATGATATGGTGAGGTGTCACGACCCATGGCGTGGCCTCCTTGTCCTCCACCAGCTGAGGGTGAGGGAATTATTCTGTGAACTGCAGCCCAGAGCACTTCAGCTATCACCTTTGTGTTCTGAACTATGCTGATGGTTTTCTTTATTTATAAATTTTCCCTTGAGCAATGAAAGAAACACCTGTAAATTTATGGATGTAGAACTAATCAATTCCTTAGAGAAACTAAACCTCCAACACTTTATTCTTCAATCCACATAAATCTGCACATCTTTATAGCAAAGCTTCATGAACTGTGAAGCAAGCAATCATTAAATGTTTTAAGAAAATGGTGAATCAATTCCAGAAATTATTACAGACTCCAGAAAATCACARAAGTTTGTTAAAATCATGGCTTGTAATTCTGCAGTGCTTTCTCCCAAGGCACACAACCCTCCAACACAGCAGCTCCTGATCTGCTCCCCTGGCATCCCCACTTCCACTCTGCAAGGCAGCAAATGTGGTCACACACCCTGACTTGGGAACTGCTTTCCTAGCACTTATTCCTCATGCTGTAACATGTTTCTAGCACCTAAGAGTCATCAGAACCTGCTTTGCAAAGTATTTAGAAATGAAGTCTTAAAGCAATGTCACCCACAGCACAAATTAACACCCAGCAGACTGAGTTGTGACTATTTGCTGCTCTGTTTTGCAGGCAGAAATGGYTGAATGCTAATTTTATTCCTGGGAAAGGCATTAAGGGATGATCATTTGGTCCAGGGGACTCACATAGATTTAACATCAGTGGTAGCAGAAATGATTTCTTCAAATTGCAGCATTGCCTTGAGGACCCAAATTATTTGGTGGCCCCATTGCAGCCACCCTCTTGAACAGGAGATTGTGGTGGTGCTGTGACACGTGGACAGCAGCATTCAMCACTCAGGGAAGGGCTGGGATCAAACCCTGCCAGAAAATCTGCCTCTCCATAGCCAGAGGAGCCTATGTCCTGGAGAGCATGGAGGACAGGGAGATGGGGACATAAATGGGGTCTTTCTCTGTAGAATCCCATATATCCCGATACAGCAAGTAGTACCTGCTCAAAAGCAGAATCCCACTGATTCTGACCCAAAAGTCTGATCTATGATTCCAGATTTGCTGAGGCAAGCTCTGTGTACTTATACCCCTCATGTACTCACAAAATCAAGGATCTGCATTCCTTTTCCAGGTCATTCCAGGGCAATCTTTCCCAGGTGAAAAGGTAGGTGGAAGAGCAGGGCTGTGAGGAACTCATCTAATTTCTCATTCCTAAGTAGAAGGTGGAATGGTCACTGTGAAGTTTGCAGATCTGCAGATAGAGACASCACCAGAGCATTATGAGGAAGAACAAAGTCTCTGCTCAAGGGCTGCATTATACCAAATATGATCAGAATGGCTGAGACCTGTTTGTAGCAAGCACTCCACCCCACACYGRCACTTWGAAGGGTTTTAGAGAATTACTGACAGTCGAATAAACATGCTGGAGAGTGGACTGAACTGGRTATTACCAGACCTATTTCCAAGAAACATTTTTTCTGCACTTCACCTTCCTTTAGGCAACAGAACAGAAAGCWTTTAAACAGGTGATGGAATTATTTCTTTGCATGTGTTCAGGATAACATGAATTTGATATTGCTTCCCACTGAACCTCGCAGATGAGGGATTTTAAATCATTCTCATATCTCCTATTCTGCTTCTCAATCCGAAGTGAGGTCCCTCCATATCCAGCTACACACATAAAATTCTCGAAATAAACTCAGCGTTGCTAGTGTCAGCAGAAACAGCTTTCTAACTTGTAGAGGCAATGCCCTGCTGATGTGAAACACCAGCAATTGCTCACGTTTGACATCATCCAACGTCACCGAGTCATGTTGTACCCACTTGGACAGCCTTGGTCAGCCAGCCCTCTCTCAGGGAGCGTGGCACTGCAATCCTGGAAGATGCTGGTGGTTGACCAAACATAACATTCAAGGACATGATGCTAATTCCAGTCTGAGAATTTTGTCTGCCTGGTACATGCTCTCTTCATTGCACTCAGTTTCAAAGGGACAGGCAGTGAAATGTGCTTGGCAGGCATCCTGAACTAACTTTCAACTATTAGACCTACAAACCAGGCTGGGGATGTTGAGAGAAACAGGACATTTCACCTCTAAGGTTGCGTCTGAAGTTGCTCTTTTAGTTGCTAATATAATAAATTGCAACTGTGTTATTTAGATCAAAGAGGTTTAAGTAATGGATAAAAGTTAGCTATACCATGTTATGAATTTATAAAATTAATAACAATAATAATAATTTAATCTTTGAAGTGCCTTACACAGATGAATTAATTACCTCACAATACTCTTTGGAACAGATGAGAATTATTACCTCGTTGTGAACGATGTGGAAACACCAACAAAGATGCTGAATGACTTTACCAAAGTCAGACCCAGCTAGTGCCTGAGCTGGCATTCAACACCAGGCATGTCTGGCTCCGTTTTTGTGTTCAGACCACTCATCCACCCTGTTGAAATGACAGCTGGCTTCCTGCTTCGTGTGCTTTGTTCAGACATGATCCTCAGACAATGGGTGAAAATATTCCCACCCAAATGATCTTGTTTCTTTTTGAGCTAGGCTCATCGAGTTGAAATACCTCTTTTAATGTCTTAACACGCATTTCCTGAAAAAGAGCATTTTTTCYTTCCTTGAGGTTTTTCCTCAGCTGYTGGGTTGGAGCTGAAATACAGGGTATGAGCATGCAGCAGTATGGTTTAAAATTATTAACAGCAGTACGAAGAGGTCAACACCAGAACATGAAGATATATCTGTTTTGGCCTCTAGTTGACACTAAGAAAATATCTGGGTCTTGGTGAGGCCAACGTGAGATGCTGCTTTCAAAAATACAGAAGCAAAGAACAAAGGGGTTCTGAGGGTCCCTCCTGCTCTGCCTCCTGCCCCATATGCCCTGTGACATAATCCCTTCCTGCAGGTCTCAAGTGGCTTTAGGAAGATTTCAGATGCACACTTCTCCATTCCAGAGCTCTTCTTTGGGATCACTGAGGGAAGATCAGGCAGAGGTCACCACGGAGCCCGCACCTCTCCCTGGAGAGCTGCCAGGCAGAGTCAGCAGCGTTCCCAAGCCCAGTGGAGAAGCTGGCTGAAGCTTCTGAGACACAGACCATGAAAGGCACCTGTCTGCTGGAGCTGTGTGACCAGGAGAGAGCTCAGCAGCCTGGCTCCACCAGGACTAAGGCTTGGAAAATGCCCAGCAGGGTGGAAGGGAGCAGTGGGCAGTGTGTGAGTGACCCACTGCCTCCCTCCACCAGTTCCCTGCCCCTGAGAGAAGAGCAGGGGGAGGGATAGTTTGGGGGTTTTAAAGTTTTTTGGGTTTTTTTYCCCCTAATGGTTYAAAAGGCCTGAWAATGCCCTAATCCACACCTGCCACAGCCATTCCAAGCAGAGTTTAATGCTCTTTGTCCCCTGCAGAGTTGTGGTTTCCCTAAAGGTCTGCAGTCCTCCGGTGCCCACCATGGCACAGAATCACACACAACACCAGGAAACATCACTCTGGTGACCTCCTGGAGTGGACACCTGGGGTGGCATTTGGCCCTCRTGTCCAGCACTGCTGCCCCAGTGGGGCACATTTCTGACACATTTTAGCTGTCCCTCTACAGTTTATCTCGAGAGCCACATGGAGTTAATGCGTATTTCTCCTTTACTCCATTAATGGGATGTAAGAATTTGTCCTGCAGTTGATGCTCRGGTGAAAAAAATATTAGACTGATTTTACTTGGAACTGCTGTATCTATCAAGGCCTAAAGCTGCATAATTTGAAACTGAACATCATTCTTTTACCTTGAATATTCAACGGTGTTAGTATCAGCTTTCCAGTACCACACACCTCMAGTCAGTTTTATCTCCTGCAAGGGAACAATGTATAAAGTACATGTCATAAATCCATGCTCATATTCTCAGCCCAGCAAAGTAATTATAATTCAAATTCTGTGCATATGGGGCACTTTCTATCATTCTTCAGTCTGCTTTTCCCCCAGATGTTGTTTGTGTGTGAATTATTTGAACACAAGTTCTCAAAGGTTGCCAGTGTAAGAAATAAAAATGAAAGAAAAATGTGCATTTATCCTTTTTTGTCTTTCAGGTTATGAATAACTAATGGGAAGTTTGCTAAAGAACATCAGTTCTTTGATTGCCAGTGAATCAGTAAAGGCTGAGAAATCAAATGAAACCAGGCATTAAACAACACAATGCTTTTGGCGTTTTTAATAATATTTATGTAAYAGGAGAATTTAAGGATCAGGAGAAAGGAAACCTTTGCTTAAAGATGGAATATATTATCCATGCTCCTTATATTCTGAGAACTCTAAATAAACACCAGATAGAATGTTCAGGGGATGCTGGACAAATGTACTAGTAACAGCATTTTAGAGCATCTATACATTTTTAAGAATTCCAAACAAAAACATCCCCTGGAAATAAATGAGGTCTATTACTCCTTTCTTAATTAACAAGAGAGTCTTCCAAACCCTTAACTATTATTTGTAGGTCACCTTTAAAGCAAAGTGACTCTTATTGCTGAAATCCCTSTGCTTACAAATTTAAACCGAGTGAAACTTTAAGCTTTCCTGTGACTTTTTGGCACGTACCAATCAGCCAGGCAGCCACAAAGCTCTCACAAATTCTTACTCAATCTAATTTAGTAGTAGAGGCTGGATATGGGACAACAGAATAATTTCAAGTCAGCAGCCCACAGCCCATGCAGTGGTGAGACCACAGAGATGAAYATGAGGAAATTATGGCTCTAATCCTTTGACAAAAAGTGGTTCTTTCAACTTGCCTTTTCTAGTCTTCAGTTTCAGCTTTCGAATCGTGTTTTACCACACTTGGATGAAAAGGCCCACRCACCTTTATGTTACACACAAGGGATTATGAACCATGAAAGAAAAATAGGAAAGGTGGTAATCCAGCATAGCAAGACCTACCAGCACATCACAGGAAGCAAAAAATTCCACTCCTGTGTCTTCAAAATACATCTCAGCTGCTTCTCACTAATGTAAATGGCGAATGGCTGTCCCCAGCCACTGTGCTGGGGCAGCAGGACAGATCTCTGCCCTCCCATGGGATCTGCTGCAGAGGGAAACGGGAACGGCAGCAACAGGATGGAGCAGGGAAAGGTGGGGAGGAGCACAGATGGCACAGAGCTGCCAGGACACTGTCAGGAGTGATGGTGATAAGGTGACACTGCTTACGGCCGTATCCTGGTGACCATCTGCTGACCCCAGGAACGGCAGATCCCAGCACACAAACTCCACTGCAGCCTGCTCTGGGCACTGGGACACATGGCCAATGTRCTCTGCTCCTTCCCAGCTCTGCTAGGAAGCTTTCCTGGGTAACATTTTAGTCCAAACAGGGAAATTCTAATACAAACATTTTTCCATGCAGTAACATCTTCACAGTCATGCTTACTGTGACATTGACAGTCAGGAGCTGCAGAGGTTTTCCTGATTTTCCCAGATCCGGCAGCAGTGAGGGCAGGTGGTCCTGGTCCTTTTGTTCTGGGCAGTGACAGCTCTCTCAATGTTAAACTCGCTTTTGCTTTGGGCTTCACAAGATTTAAAAATGTATCTGCCGGGTCACAAGTGYGTAGCATGACCTAGGTCCTTATGCGATCAATCAGCTCAAGATTTGGAAGCTACACCTGGGAATAATTCTCATATACTAAGACAGATCACTTTAGGGCATGAATTTGAGGTTTGGAATCTTTGGGATATTTTGTAGCATTTGGTTTTTCAAGCAGAGAATCTCACACATTCTTCCCGGTGGGTCAGTATGATTGGTGCTGCTTATATCACACCCAAAATAGGGATAAGTTGTGCAAACAAAAGCACTTTTTGCCAATAGAAGTCAAGTCTCCATCAAGGGTGAGGTTTCACCTTACAGCTAAACCAGCCTAACAGCCAATTGTTAATGGAAGAAGCATTCTTGATCATCAAAGTTTTCCCATCATTCACCTTTGTGTTGATTCTTTATCTTCTCTGACCCCACAGCAAGGCGGCTCCCTAAACTGTCAAAAGTAGTCATCCAGCAAAAATAAATGAGACTCTTTCTATTGAGTTAGCAATTTACATCAGTTCATGGTGAAGTCAGACAGGGGCCAGTGGAGATAAATAAAAGGGGACAAGGGAAGGATCACACCTTGCAGACCAGGTCAGCTACAACCTAAGAAAATGTTGCTGCAATACTTTGAAAGGATGAAAATACCTGATCTAAGACTTTTAGACAGGTCAGGTCAGTAAGACAAAAGGAATATTTCCTGTGTTTCCACCTCTTAAAAAATGGCATCAGTCATTTTTGCAATAGTTTCTAACTAGGAAAAATACTCTTGAAAGTAACACAGGTGTTCATGAGCATGTGGAAGAACAAATGGACAATGAAATGTGGGGAAAGAAGATTTCCATAAACAACCTGTCCCTAACTTCCCTTATTTCCAAAGCCTTCCAAACACTGCATCTTTTCTCTTGTAAGTACTCTTTAGAGCAAACACAATCAATCCATGGATAGGTAAGCAAGGATCTCAAACAGCCTGAAAATTCCCCTCTGGCTCTGCTCTCTCCAGCCATCTCTTTCCATTTTTTTATACAATTGCATTGTGTATGTTGTGTTTCCAGTTGCTATTGCCGGCTGCCAAGTAYACATCTATGACTTGGCAGCCGAGTTACATATTTAAGAGGATGAGAGAAGCAGGTTTGGGAACAACCTCACATCTCATCCATGGCAGCCAGGCAGCACTGTAGAAAGAAGCTCAGGGGAATGGGGAATGTATGGAACTGATGGCTCATTGGCTTGTTTTTAGAGAGCAGGGCTGTCATCAGCCTCAGGAGCCCACTTGGTCCACCTTGGCTCCAATAAAAGTCGTGCTAAAAGAATTGGCACAAGTGAGGGATGTGTTGTAGACACRCAGGGCTTCCTGTGTTAGTGCTTGAAGTGCAGGAGGCAGGGGAGACAAACCTTCCACTGTAATGGAAATCTGCTCTGAACAGTCCAAGAAATGTRTAACACTAAGCTCTCTGAGAAAAACAGCTCCTTGGCATTGCCAGTGGAAGACGCCACAACAGACACATAGCATTTGGCTTTTGCTGATTTATCACCTTCTTTCTGTGAGAATTATACACATCTGAGGGGCAAAAAACAAATAAACAGTGTGAAACACTCAAGATGTGATCGTGACGAGTTCCACAGRCAGCATCCTAAGCAACACTGAGGCTGAGCAACAATAAGGTGTTTGTTGAACSAGGAACCACTTCTACCTTCTTAGAGCTTACTCTGCCCATCGTGTGCACTGACTGAGGCAGGTGCCCTGCAGAAAAAAAAAATTTTGAAAAACCTGTTAGAGCATAATTAAAAACTGGGTTATGAGGCATAAGCACAAAGAAAGCAAGAAATAGGCTTGCTCCAATTGTCATAATTCTGAACAACTGACATTGAACCCTTAATAGGTTTCTTTTAGAGCTGTTTCTTGTGGTGTTTGTGTGTCCATGGGCRTCCCAGTAGCTGGGAACACTCAACAATATGTATATGTACCCATTCTTTAGGTATATCTAATGTTTARTTTGGATATCACACCCAGAAAATAAACACATGCATAAACTCAACAAAAATATCACTGACTCACCATCCAGTCATCCACCTCTTCTCTGCCTCTTGTTTCTTCTTGCTGTGTCAAGCCTCTGTCTCCCATACCCACCGTATTAATTTCCTCCTCTTTTCCCAGGGGCAGTTAAATGTCAGCTCTGGTTTCTCTGGGAATATTAGACTCCATGTGTGCCCTGCTGTTTGCATTGGACACACAAGCACAGATTTCAATTTCACAGTAGCTAATACTGTCCATGACCGTGCCATTTACCTGCCAAAGACTCTGCCTGCTCATTAAAAACAGGATCATGCTGCATGAATGGAATAAACACTGTCCTTGGGCAAAACACTGAGAACATTGGCGCAGGTTTTCGCTCCAGATTTGTGCAAGGTGGAAACTCCTAATTCCTTGTTTTCAGCAATTTGAACAGTGCATTCCTTGGATAATCCAAAGTTTGGTAGCTGCACTGCAGCTCCTGGAGAGAGACTGTGTCCACCTCATGTCCAGCAACAGCCATGCCCCAGAATCAGAGCCCCATGGCCTCACAGCCACATCCACAGCACCCGACTGGTTAAAGGTGTTGAAAGAAAAAGGCAGAATCAGCTCCTGAGTCCACAATACTGAGGGAAATCAGGAGGCAGCAACTGCCTGGCACCAATTACAGGCACACACTCTGATTTTGGAAAGCCAGAAAAACCAGCTGCACATTCTTTTACTGAACTCCTCGTGCCATTACTCCCTCTTGCATGGTTTTATCAGATGAAATTATTGAGCATAAGCAGTTGTCAGCCCTTTTCACACAGCCTTGTGCCCCCAACAATCAGCCTTTTGTTATTAAAGTGCCTCTGACAGAAAGGAAGAAGTATCAAAATGTACCTCACACTCAAAAGATATTTTCAAAATACTGATTTGATTTTGAGGTGCCCAGAAATCTAGGAAACTTACAAAAAATTTCACAGCCTAGTTTCTAGCTTTTCTCAGGATCTGATAACCATCTCCCTGCTATAGAAATAGAGGGGGAAAAAAGATGAAAACTTAGTATAGAAGTACTRTAGACAAGCTCTTCTCTATTCAATTCAGTGAGCTTTGAATAAAACTATGGCAGAAAATTTTACTTTTAGTTTTGAGTGAATTACAGAGACTTTTATGTTATTAGAATTTTTAAATTAGCTATCTCCCACCTGTAGTTCTGGGGTAGGACTAAGGACTAGTTAGCATCAAATGTCTTTAACCAGGCTGTGTTGGAACACTTGCAAACACAAATGCAAATGAACRAGCTCTGCAACAGGAAAATAAGGAGTCTGCCAATTGAGAAATAAACGTGGTTTTGAAATAAATATGTTTACATTTTAAAATACAGCCTGGCAAACAGAAATGCTGCTTTCAGCCATGACRTGATCRCTAGACTGTCAGTGCAACTGTGCAGCAGCTCGTACAGGGATTGACAGAAAGTATTTCATGATGCTTGRCAGTGAATATAGAAAGGCAACCAAGATCTCCTAAACCCACAGAGGTTTTCATAGAGTGCTGCCTGAAGTACTTAGCATTGCCACCTCTGGAAGTGTTTCTGTCTTCTTAATCCTATTCAAAATAGATTTTTAACTGCTGACCTGCAAATGATTTGGAGCAGTGACATTTTTAACTGCTCCAGCAGGTAAGGTCCGGGTGCTGCCAACTGCTACCTAAAGCACAGGCAAGAACAAYCTCACACTGCTTGGTCCAGAATGCAAAAGAAATCTGTCAACTTTTGCAGAGGCCAACACACAMAAAAAAATTSCTGAAAGGAGTAAGTTTCCTGTACTATTGATTTTCTTTAACAGTACAAAAAAAGTGTTGGCTCTCAGAAGGAAATTTCTCCCCTCTCTAAAATTCCTGGCTGGTGCTGTTATCAGGGTGACAARAGGAACCAACTTGTCTCTGTCTCTACCCTCTTGATGGAGGAGAGAGTATAGGCAAATGGGTCATTCAAGGGTGCATCGGGTGTTWTAATACTGCTGTTTCATATGTGGAAGTGAAATATGTTGTTGCATCTGGAAATGCTGGCCTGCCCAACTCTATAATCACCAYGCTGCTGCAAGCAAAATCTGCTCYAGAGGCAGGTCTGTGCTCTAGGCTCCTGCCTGCATAAATATGTGGAAAAGAGCGGCGGAGAGATGTGATACCTGACCCACATAGGTGTGCTAAAGAAGCTTTACTAGCATAACTTGTTTTGCTCTGGGGTAGGGAGGGGTGATAACTTTCCTGTGATGAACARCTACAGAACGTAATTTTGCTGCTGTAAGAGCATCCACATGCTTTGCTRGTTTAACATCCCAGGATGCCCGTGTGCCAAGGTACAGTGTACCTGACGGAGCAGAGATTAGACCACTGTGTGCTTTCCAAAGGGGTACAGTGAGGGAAACTCATGCCAGGCACAGGGCCAAGGAGGAGAAACAAGGRACACCTCTGAGACAAGTAGACTTTGAAATGCTATTACCTTGCAACGCACTGTCAAGACTGAAAAAAAGGAACTTTAAGTATGCATGGGTGTAAGCCCATGTTTTTTAATGTGACGCATTGCATTTAATGTGAGTGCCAAGACTGGAAATGGGAATTCCCTGAACATTTTTTCCCTTTCTTTCTGTTCCTCCTGTGCATCCACAGGAGTGGCTCACAATGGTGAAGACAAAATTTATGGTGCGGTCCTGAGATCCTTCATCTCCTACCCTGGCKGCACCCCACAGAACCCCAAACCTTCAAGGAGAACCTAAATGACAGGCAGCTCCCGAGAGAAATACTACCCAGCCTGCAGGGCTCCACGCAGTGCCTCCCGAGAGATAAAAGGCAGGCTGCTGGGATGTATTCATTCCTGCCTTTAAGATGGTATCACAAGGGATGAGCAGSGCTGCAGCCTGTCTGCTGAGTCCTGTGTGCACAACTTCAAACAGACGCTCCGGAGGCGGCGGGGCCGGCCTGACTCACCCGGCTGGGTGGACACAGCCTGTCCGAGCACGTCTCAGCTCCCCRGTGCTTGCCCTCCGACAGCTCCCTTGTCCTCAGCTCCCTCCGAGGGCTCTCACACAGCGCCTTATTTTAGTTATGTTTTTGGATTTGTCTTTTTTTTTGGCTCTCCCCTCTCCACTGCAAAGCGACGGTGGGGAATTGCAGGGCGACCTGCACCACATGCAGGAGGCATGGCTTTGCTGTAGGGATTTAATTTGRGTGATTAAATTCCCCCCAGTATTAATGCCACGGGTGTTCCTCTAGTTAAAATAATACCATCCAAACTCAATCAGAAAATACACAGAGCCACCAAAACATGAGTTGCACAAGTGCTAGAAAATTAAAAGCACTTTACATTCTCCCTTACRGGCTTTGTCTTTCTTGCACAGCCTTGCTGCAACATGGCAAAGTTCAGAAGCCCATGATTCTGACAGGAGCAGAGRAGCAGCTGGCATTCCTGTGAGTCAGGAAGGGCACAGGATGAGAGACGCTGAGCACAAAAGCTGTGAAACTGCAGATTTTAGACAAGATTACTTTCCTGGCTTTGCCAAATTCATTTGAAATGTGCAATTGCTCACYAGAACATGTACACACCAAATGCACCTGTTTGCAAATGAGGAGCAGCATTTGGAAAATTGACTTTATTTCTTTAAGAAACTGGAAGGCGGTGGGGGGAATAGAGACCCGCTGGAGTCAGTGGGATGTTTCCACTAACAGGATCAGAGTTCACTCTGCAGTTAGTACAACATACTAAAAACCARCTTGAAGTTATTCTTTGTTTTATAAACTAAGTGAATGAATGCAAGGAATCTAGTTTTGAGCTCTTCAAGTTTTCTGCTTCTTGTTCACATATTTGAAAGGCTACTTTGTGCCTTCAGACTATAAATCTTTTCCCAAGCATTTAAGTCRGCACAAGTGTCCAATCCTTTACATACCCCACACACAGCCTTAGGTGTGTCACACCAAAAAACATCTTTTTTTTGTAGGAAAAAAAGATACAACTGTCCCAGTGTTAACCTGTTGTTGTCCTCAGCCACTTTCACCATCCAGATGGGGACTCCACATCTCTTTTTCCTGCCTGTCCCACTGCTGGAACAGGCACAGAGCAGCAGGGCCGAGGTGAGTGGAAGGACAGACAATAGCATAGGTGTGTGACAAACTGTCTGCTGTGTGTGTTTAGCTACATTAGCTCTGCAATACACTTAAATAACAAAAAATTGTGTTTAATAACTGGGAAGCGTCGCTGAGGAATGCAAACCAAGGGCTGAAAAGTAAAGGAAACTATGTGGCAAGKGCAATTACCAGTTGGTTAATACAAAAAATAGTTCAACCTGCATTTACAATGAAAATGGGTGCTACCTATTCCTTATTGTCATCCCATGGTAGTGGGATTTTGGATAGGAAGAATTTRTCTGACAGACTATTACAGTTTTCAGCAACAACTTTTCATTTACAGATAATCTAGTGCCATTCATAAACCTATTTACCTATTAGTTCCTAAGGAAAAAATAAAAATAAAAGTCACAGTATCTTCTCATTCACAGGGGTCCTCTACATGTTACAGCCTGGAAATCAAGAGGCAGTGCACCKGGAAACAGCCARTAAAGTGCTGCACACCTGAACACCRAGAGCCTGCCTGCARCTTTTGGAGATCTCTCTAAAGCCCACAGCAGGTGCTGAAGTTGCTGCAATCGACTCCTCCAATCTCACTGTGATGGCACTGACATTTACCTGCAAACCACTCGATATACCTGGAGTAGTTTTGAGTMATTTGCAACAACATCTGTCAAACAAGCTTTTTACAAGTTTCACATTCCCCCCGTGACAACTGTAACCCCTTAAGAGCAACCTCCAGTCAGTGAGTGCCCTAGAAAGCAATTCGAGAGAAATCCATGCAGTAAGCCAGAGYCTTATATCTCTGCTGATAATTAAATACTGAATAACGCTATTGTTCTCTTCCTTCTCGTCACAAAAAACCTTTTTTATAGATTCTTATTATTTTTTTTAAATATGCATCACCTACAAGATTAAGGAATCAGAGCCCTAGGAGCTGTTTGCAGCAGGGAGAGCTGGCAGGGCAGCGCCCACCACGGTTCCCGGGACACCAACGCTCCCGACATCCAAACAAGCAACAAACCAAAACACGGCGGCCGATTGCCTTCGGCTGCCCACTGCTCTGCAGTTTTTTCCCTKAAAGGACAAGCCAGTCCGAAATGAGCGTGCCATCAGGCTCCCGCAGGAGAGCTCATTAACTCGCAGCGCCTCGGACTCCTAACGCTGCCTGCCAGGTTTTTTGCTTTCTTATACAAATGAAGAGCTCTGCAGACAGTTTGCAGCAAAGCCAGACAAGTTTAACTACTACAGATTTTGCCTATTCTATTAAGTTCGGCATACCAGCTCCTTACTCAGCACTCCCAGCTCTGGGGGTGTCCTCACCAGTGCTATTTTACACTGTCTTAAGAGGAGGAAAACATATTCAGTAAAGTATCGAAAGCTCAGCGTGCACACAAGGAACCCAAGAATAACTCAGCACTTTGTACAGCTGCCCACAAACCGGTCTCTATTTTATCAAGCCCCACCACCTGCCAAGCCGGACTATTTCTGTTGTCCTCATTTCCCCGCCGTTCTCCCCCAGCCACACGCACACGATGCATTCCCAAGCTGGGAACTGCAGCCCCAGACACCAGTTGCGGGTATAAGGGCAGGTCYTGCCCGAAAACAGCACCTGCATGCAACTCTGGGGAACTTTTCCCTGCTGTGAAAATCCCGGGAGCCACACTCCCAACCCGGCTGGGGGGCTTCACCACCAGGRCACCCCCTCGCCAGCCCCCACCCCAAGCTCTGCTCCCCTCGGGAAGCCCTCAAGCTCTCTTCCACTGCCACTCTGGGGGCATCAACCTCCCCTCCAGAGCCCAAAACCCCTGTGCTCCACTGCTGTCACTACCCAGAGCCACAAACACCACCCCCCACGCCACTACTGCCCCTTCACAGAGAGGAGAAAGAGGATAGATATATGCTTTTAATACATTTTATTTATTACCAAAATTTCCAGAAGCCAAATTTGGCAAATGTTTTTCAACTTCTGTAAAGGTTTTCATGCATAACTTGAAACTTGTCAACTGCAACAGTCAAGTGGTTACTTTAGAAGAGACAGAGACAAACATCCAGAGTACAAACAGCTGTATCTGAATTAACAACATTTGTCTATTACTAACCTTATAAAGCAGGACGTGCCTTCCCTCTTATCAAAACCAAGCTGACAGATCTGCTCTTATACACACCCAACAGAATAAACTCTGTTATCGGCAAGGACGTTTTCCTTAAACGTTAGAAAAAAAAACAAAGCAGAGAATGGAGTGACTGTCCATAAACCAGTCTGTATTTCAGTCCTCTTTAATCTACTTCTTCGATGGTGGGGCCACCAGAGCCACCTGCCCCAGCCCCTCCATCTCCCCGGTACAATTTTGTGACTATCGGGTTGCAGATTTTCTCCAGCTCTTTCTGCTTGTGCTCATACTCTTCCTTCTCAGCCATCTGGTTGCGGTCGAGCCAAGAGACCACCTCCTTGCACTTGTCGAGCACTCTCTGCTTGTCCTGGTCACTGATCTTTCCTTTCAGTTTATCGTCCTCCACYGTCTGCTTCATGTTGTAAGTGTAGGACTCGAGGGAGTTCTTGGCTGCCACCCGATCCCGGTTAGCTTCATCCTCCGCTTTGTACTTCTCTGCTTCTTGCACCATACGGTCGATGTCATCCTTGCTGAGGCGACCCTTGTCGTTGGTGATGGTGATCTTGTTCTCCTTACCCGTGCTCTTGTCCACGGCACTGACATTCAGGATACCATTGGCATCGATGTCAAAGGTGACCTCGATCTGGGGCACTCCCCGGGGTGCTGGGGGGATGCCTGTTAAGTCAAACTTGCCCAGCAAGTTGTTATCCCTTGTCATAGCCCTCTCACCCTCGTACACCTGGACCAGGACGCTGCTCTGGTTGTCTGAGTAGGTGGTGAAGGTCTGAGTTTGTTTGGTGGGGATAGTGGTGTTGCGCTTGATGAGAGCAGTCATCACTCCTCCAGCTGTCTCGATGCCCAGGGACAGGGGGGTGACATCCAACAGCAGCAGATCYTGCACATTTTCAGACTTGTCTCCCATGAGGATGGCTGCTTGTACAGCAGCACCGTAAGCCACAGCCTCATCAGGATTGATGCTCTTGTTGAGCTCTTTRCCATTGAAGAAATCCTGTAGCAGCTTCTGGATCTTGGGGATMCGGGTAGAGCCACCCACCAGCACTATCTCCTGGATCTGGCCCTTGTCGAGCTTGGCATCACGCAGAGCCTTCTCCACCGGCTCCAGAGTGCCACGGAAGAGGTCAGCATTGAGCTCCTCAAAACGGGCACGAGTGATGGAGGTGTAGAAGTCAATGCCCTCAAAGAGGGAGTCAATCTCAATGCTGGCCTGCGTGGAGGAGCTGAGGGTGCGCTTCGCCCTCTCACAAGCYGTGCGCAGCCGCCTCACCGCTCGCTTGTTGCCAGCGATGTCRCGCTTGTGCTTGCGCTTGAATTCTTCCACAAAGTGGTTCACCATGCGATTGTCAAAGTCCTCCCCTCCCAAATGGGTGTCACCAGCTGTGGACTTTACCTCAAAGATCCCATCCTCGATGGTAAGGATGGACACATCGAAAGTGCCCCCTCCCAGGTCAAAGATGAGCACGTTCTTCTCACCAGCCCGGGTTCCTTTCTTGTCCAGGCCATAGGCGATAGCGGCTGCGGTGGGCTCGTTGATGATACGCATCACATTGAGGCCAGTGATGGTGCCGGCGTCCTTGGTTGCCTGGCGCTGGGAGTCATTGAAGTATGCCGGCACTGTGATGACAGCATTCTGCACCTTGCACCCCAGGTAGGCCTCAGCAATCTCCTTCATCTTGGTGAGCACCATGGAGCTGATCTCCTCTGGGAAGAAGGTCTTCATCTCCCCCTTGTACTCCACCTGCACCTTAGGTTTGCCAGCTTCATTCACCACACGGAAAGGCCAGTGCTTCATGTCCGACTGCACCGTGGGGTCATCGTACTTGCGGCCGATGAGGCGCTTGGCGTCAAAAATGGTGTTGGTGGGGTTCATTGCTACCTGGTTCTTGGCAGCATCCCCGATGAGCCGCTCTGTATCGGTGAACGCCACATAGCTGGGAGTGGTGCGGTTGCCCTGGTCGTTGGCGATGATCTCCACCTTGCCGTGCTGGAAGACACCCACGCAGGAGTATGTGGTGCCCAGGTCGATGCCGATCGCCGGCCCTTTGGCAGACATGGTGTCGGCTGTGTGAGGTGCTGCTCGCCCGTGTCCACCCCGCCCGCTCCCGCTGCCGCCGCGGCGCGATGTGCCCGGTTCGCGCCGCCGCCGCCCGTTTTATACCCGCCGCGGCCGTTTCTGGAACCTGCCAGAACCCTGACGGCCAATCCGGACGCCCCGAGAACGATCGTCTGGCCAATCGCCTCCGCGAGCCGCTGGGGAGTGCCCGCCCCCAACGCTCTGGCCAATCAGAACCGCGAGCGCCCACCCGTCAGCCCGCCCCCCCCGAAGGCCGCGATTCTTCCGGGTTTTTCTCGTGCGCCACSGCGCTCAGCCAATCCGCGCTCGCGCTGTCCCCTGGCCCCGCCCCCTCCGCGAACCTCAGCTAGAAAGTTCCAGCTGACATGACGTTATGCTGGGGATTGACATCATCGCTGTCCAATGGCAGGCGAGGACGGGCCGAAGGGGCGGGGCTGTGTGGTCGCTACGCGACGCCCCCGCGCTCCGCCCGCGCGGCTCCGCGGGGTGTGGGGGCCAGGGATTCGCGGCCGCTCTCGCCGCACGGTGTTTGTAATTCCTGAGCGTTCAGCCCCGCGCTGGGGAATTTACCCTTATTTGGTCGCAGGGCGGCAGAAATTTCGCCCTCCCTCCCAGACACACACACACACACCACCCTTCAACCTCCCTCCCAACTGTCAGGGCGGAACGGTCGCCTCTCTTCCCCTCGGCGACCCCCGAGCTGTCATGGCGGAACGCCTCCCCTCACACAGCTCCGCGCCCTCCCGCCGTGCCTGAGGGAAAGCCCCGCCGAGCCCGTGTTCAGCCCTACTTCGCCCGAACTTGGCGGGCTGACAACACCTACGCCCCGTGTCTGTCCCGGTACCAAAACTCAGCGAGTGGCACCGGGTTCYCCCCTCATGTGCCCGCAGCAGAACTCGGGGAATGGCAGCGGGCTGTGCCCTCCTTCTGCGGGATCAGAACTCAGGGAACAGCACCAGCGGGGCTTTGGGGACCCTGTTGCTGCGTGTTCCTGCGTGGTGACCATTCTTGAGCCGCCTCCAAATTCTTGTCTGTTGCGCTAATGTGAAATGTCGTCACGCCTACGTTTAGCAAAAGCTATGGAGCTATTAACTCGGAGCTAGGAAAGTGCTTTGATGAAAATATATTAAACATGAAAATCTGCCGTGGTTTCCTCCAAATTATGCCTCCTTACTCGGAGACAAACACCTCAAAATATCCCAGTTCTAGTAAGGAGGGCAAAACACCATCCTGAGTTTTTTGTGGGTTTTTTTTTTAATACAGGGAGTCTTAGTGAGTAGCTCCTTTTCAGCTCCTTTAAAAGTGTTGCTAAAAGTTTGCTATCCATAGAGTTCAGGAGTTATGTGAGAGAAGGATTAAAGTCCGTGTACACTTAAATCCTGTTTCTTTATTTTTTTTCCCAGCCTTCAGCAGTTGTACCTGGACTCATAGAAAATGTGTTACAGCTTTTCCCAGAGTGATTTGTATTCACATAATTATTACAGGCACTGTAACTCCTGTCCAAAAACATCCTTGTTTCCATTARTGTATTTTCCAAAGCCTTTTTTACAAAACATGAGGACTCCACCTWTTCTGTGCAGTGTGTATGTAGTTTTGTGATGGAAGAGCCTGGATTTTTGACCATACATATTGTATGTACTTAAATAACTATTACTCTTCAACAGGTCCTGGTCCTTTTTTTTTTTTTGCACACGGGTTCTGACCTTGGAGAAATCCAAAAGAAGTCAATGGAAAATGGGAACCATCAGCTGTCCCTGCCTACAGGAGCTGCTCTGTGTATCCTGTGTGCATATTTCTTTGATGGGAAAGGTGTCGGTTTCTCTTGTAGTTAGACCAGTGACTGATTCATCACTGAACCATCTCTTCCTGTAATTCACTGCCACTTCATTCAGTTGATTGTATTATGTGGAACAGGGAGAAATGCCAGAGCAATACAAAGAGAGGTGGATAATAAATTCTGTTTCAGCTGAAAAGTTGATGTTGTTTATTATTYGTATCCTTGTGAGGACTGTCCCTTAAGAGCACTAGTAATGCACAGGAACCCTGTTTTAATAGCTGCAGTACAAACAAACTCACACCCTGTTATTCCAGAGCTGAAAGAAGATTCCGGCCTCAAAAACATGTAAAAAAACAGTAGATGGAGAGAACATGGAGTAGGAAATAACACAATATTGATTAGCACAATATACTGTCTTTGCAGSAAAATTAATTTGATGTCTCATTTAACTATAGCTATAATTGAACAGGTTTTATCAGATTTWAAAGTGACATTTCATTAATTTGGCCCAAAGCTTTTAGCTATATGTTTTATCAGCCCAGGCACAAAATATCTCCAACAKCTCCAGACAAAACTTGTTTGGGGTTTCCTTGGCCCAGTAAGTAGTGTGGCCCTGATACGGTTGTGGWGGTACCCAGATGTGCTGATAACCTGCTAAAGAGGTGTTTGCATTGACTGGATAACTGCCCACCCTGGGA